ACAGTGTGATGCTGTCCCTCAACAGCATTCCAGTAGTAGCGTGGAAAGATGTTTCCCTATGTGGGACTCATTTTGTGGCTGCCCTGCCCAAAGTTACCCATCTCATGAGCTCCTGGCCTTGGAGAGTCACTCCCTTGGGAGAGCACTGAGCTCGCTTCTGCACCGTCCTGTGCTTCCCTCCAGGATGCTCCTGTAGCACTCGGATCCACAGATGAGGCTTGCTGGTACCAAACAGGGTGTGGGGCACTGCTGAGCCCTCACCGCTGGCCTGATGTGGCCCACCAACAAGCCAGTTTGATTTGGAGTGGCTGTGTGAGAGCAGAAATATGGGATCCCCCACCGAGCCCCTGAGCATCCCTGTTTCTGGCTATAAACCCCCTTCTAAGGAGGGGTCTTTAGAGAGCGGGGCTGAGATGATCCACAAGCTGCAGTCATCCCCCGCCCCCTCCCCGAGAGGAATTGCTCTCACACAAATGAAATGTGTGTAATTAATGGGCAGGGGGCTGGACAGGTCTGAGATGAAAGCGTTTCCTGGACTTGTCCTTCATTTGCATGGTATCAGAAGCTGTTCAGAAGGTGTGACTTTTCCCACAGGGAGCCCTCAGCTCGGTGGCACAATAAAGCCAGGACTTCTTACCCAGAATTAATTAAAGGAGGGGGAGGGGGATGGCAGAGAGATGTTTGAAAGCTGAGCCTGATGCAATAAACAAACAGCCCAGTCCTTCTTACCAAGCTGGGGCATGCCAAAGGAGGCCTGGGTGAGCCCCAACGCTGCCAGAGCATCGTGCAGCCCACCCTGCTCAGTGGGCACCCTTCCCTATGCAGACCTTGTGGAAAAGTTGTCATGGGTTGGCCCTCCAGTGAAGGCCAATGGTGTTTGTAAAGTGAGAGAGAGGATGGAAGCTGAGACAGCATGTGCCAAAAGGTTTGGGGCTTGGTGGATCAAGCTCTGATGCAGCCCCTGCTCAGACAGCATGGACTCCTTTTCTTGCCACTTTGGTTTATTCCTGCCCATCTACTGTTTCTCTGCTACAGCCACATTTAACCTGAGAACAGCTCTTCTCCCTGCCTGATGTTGCCCTGTTGTATTTGCCCCACATTTACTTCTTACCGCATGCTGGCTGGCTGGACCAGCCAGGCTTCCTGGTCTCATCTCACGAGGCAGACTCTCCCAAATGTCGCTCACCTCCAGCCTTGTCACTGTGCTCAGACAACATCGTGCAGCAAAGTCCTGTACGGGCAGGGACACACATGCACCACTGCTTGGAGCTCGGGACAGGGCGGTCATCCCTGCACCAACAGTCAGAAGAGCTCCTTTCCTGCTTCATTTGCCACTTCCCTCCTGCCAGCTGGTAGCAGCAAGGGGACCACAGGATGATACTGGGAGTAGCGGTGCTAGGGACAGACACATCCCCATCACAAGGACTTTGGGACTTTGCTAGCTGGAGCAGGGCTTTCTGCCCAAAACACCCATGCTATCAGCATGAGTCGATGGCAGCGAACACCCACCTCCAAACCTCCCATGTCCAGTGCCCTCCTGGATCCAGCCTCAGTGTCCCACAGTCCCCAGGGCCTTTGGGTGGCTGTGGTTGTCAAGGTTGGTCCAAATACTTGCTGATGATGAAGGAGGAGGGGAAAAGTCCCAGATTCCTGGGCTGATGATTGACCCTGCACGTTCAACTAGCAGCCAGGGTTTCTGCATCCCTGGAGGAACAGTAAGTACTGCCAGGGACTGTCTCCTTCTCCCTGCATGGGTGGTGGGAGCTACCAGTTCTGCAGGGTCCAGATCACTGGGAAGAGTGTGAGCTGCTACAGCCAGGCCAGGGACTAAGTGGTATCAGTGCAGAGACGGGGTATGAGGAGCCATTAATTAATTCACTTACTCATTAACTAACTAGTAGTGGGCTCTTTAATCTTCCAAGCAAAAGCAAAACAACATTTGCTGGCTGGAAGCTGAAGCTGGACAAATTCTAGCAATAAACAAAGCCCCAAGTTGTAGTGCTCCTCGGCAGCACGGCCACCCAAAAGCCTTTTATTGAAAAGCGTCTAATTAACTGCACACCAAACGAGCTGGGAAAGCAGGGCGTCCCTTCCCAGGAGCCAGGCCTGGGTGCCTTTCACAAAGGCAGGCCGCAGCAGAGCAGATGGCAAGAGCTGGGGATGGTGTGTGGTACAGGGCTGTGCAAGGACACGAGGGGTGTCCATCCCCGGCTCAAGCTCCCAGGGTGCTGGGTGCCCCCTGCCCCAGCCCTCGGCTGCACCCTGGGATGGGGGAAACAGCCTTACGGGAGGCTGAGCACCCATGCCATGCCCTTCCCTGCCATCGCTGTCCCTGGGGGACAGAAAACAAGGGAGGAGACCTCTGCTGACCTGCGTGGAGCCAGTCCTGCCCCTCTGCTACCCTTACCTGGAGCAGCAACCCGGCACCAATTCACTCAGGTTCACAAAGCCATTAGGAAAAGCAATTAGCCAAATTAATGAAAGAAAAGCACCCATTATGGACTATCAAACACCATCTCTGCCTGGGGAAAGGCCAGGAGCAGTTCACTTTTAGTTCCTGTAGTATGGAAACCACAACAAGGGCTTGCCCCAGCTGTCTGCTCCGGGATTCTGTAGTCCTTGGGTCCCTCCTGGGAGAGCAGGGCAAATGCCATCGGCGCTGTCCTGCAGCCCAAGCATCATCTGCAACCTCTGTGATGCAACAGTGATGCTCAGATGTAGAACATGGCTGAGCACCCAGCCCCTGGGTTTCCCTCTTGAAATGAATGATATTATATTGACAGCTCAGCCCAGTCTGCAGCATCAGCCAGGGGATGGCTCATCCTCCCACCCTGTGGACAAGCAACACCCTGAGCACTAAGCGATGTCACAGGGATGCCATGAGGATGGCAGCACCAGCAGGATGCTGCTACAGCCACACCTGTTGGTGCAGCACCAACAATGGCAAGACTCTCACCTTGCTAGGTTGCTCCATTTCTGCATTTTTTTAAAAACATATTTAACAATTTTATTATTGCATCTTTCCATATCTGAGACAACTCCATATCTGAATCCCCTGTTAGCTCCTGTGAGCAGGACCCAACACCTTGGCAGGGCTGAGTATCCGGCAGAGCAGACCCAACAGCCCATTTTGCACAGACACCAAGTTCATCTAGACCAGAGGGGAGCAGATACTGGCTTTCTCTTAGAAAGCCTCATCCCATGCTTAAAACCAGTGCTCAAGCCCCCATTGCACTATGTCCCCATCCAGCCTGCAATGGTCTTGTCCCCACAGGGCAAGGAGGTGGCATCTGCCCATTAAACCTGGAAGCTGCAGCAAGGAAAACCATGATTTCCAAAAGACTCATCAGGTCCAAGATCTCAGGGCATCTTCCTCCTTTCCACATCTGCTCCCTCAGGAGCTTCCTCCTTCCCTCACCAAGAAGCAGCCTCAGCCCCATCCTGCATCTCACAGTCCTCCTTCGCTCCTCTACAACCTGCTTCTCCAGCCCCAGCCCCTCTGTGGAAAGCATCAAGCTCAATTAGACTAATACAAATTTTTAATGCACATCATATTAAATAAATATATCAATCATTTCATATTCAATTTTTACACAACCAAAACAAAACAAAAATCCTCAAGGAAACAAAAACCCAAACAATCAAAAAAAAAAAAAGATTGGATGAAAAGTCACCCCTGGTTCTGGCTCCTATCCAGTGTCTTTGTTTGCCCTCCCCATGAAGAATAATTGCTTTAACCCTTTGGGGAGAGTCGCAGTCCCAGGGCAGCATGTGCAGAACAGGGCTGGCTGGGGATGTTCACTTAAGATTTCACGTTCCTGCATGGTTTTTTTTAATAAATAGAAAATTTGGCTTCTGTCAACACAGAAATTTTGAAAGAAAATCCCTCCTTTCCTAGGAGCACAAGGTCAACAGAATTTCTTATCAAAGAGCAAACCTGGAAGAGATGGTTGACAATGGAATTGTCAACCACAAACTGAATATTATGACAAAACCAGCCTGAAATGGCTCCACAGTCATTTGTAAACTTTTTTAATTTTATGGATGAAAACTTCCATCTGATAAAAAAATATAAACAGAAAAAAAAAATCAATTTTTGGTGAAAAGTTCACATTTTCCACATGAAAAAAACCAAAAACCAAACCAGTTACCAGCCTGCTCCACAGCAGCCGTCACCCACTGCCTCACCTTAGTAGTTTAAAAAAAAAACAAATGCCAAAGATGCTCTTGGGGGTAAGAGGTACCAAGTCAGTTCAGGACTTTCTCTGGGGTGTCCATCACCCCTGTCCCCTCCTGAGGAAAAATACGTTGGTAGTTGGGAAGCCAGCCGTGTTTTCGGAAGGGTGCGAGCAGCTTCCAGCAACCCCTTGCTCAGCCAAAGTATCCGAGACGCATCCGAGGAAGGAAAGCATCCAGCGGTCCTCACCACAGGGGTCGCAACCAACCCCGACACATCACCCAGGCTGCAAAACCCACCCGGGAGACTCAGGCCACCTCCGAAATAAATCCCCTTCCCTTAACTGTTTTCTGAAGTCTCCGTCTTCTCCGGTAAGCATTAATTCAGTTCATTTAAGTAGCACATTACTCCCAGATTTGGATTTCCTTTTTTTTTTTTTTTGCTTGTTTGTTTTAAATGATGATTTTTTTTCTCCTTTACCCCTAGAGCTAGAAAAAAAAATTACAAAATAAAACACAACCCCAAACAGACTAGAACATTTCTAAGTGAAGGGCTCTTCCCCCTTCACCAGTCTTTGAATGTTTCATTTCTTTTAAAGTTGGAGTACAAAAATAGAGCCTCTTTCTTATTTTTTTTCCATTTTTTTCTTTTTTTTTTTTTTTTTGTGAAATTTTTTTTTCAATAAGGACGTGTTGTTTTTGTTTCCCCCCCCCCCCCCTTTTTTTTTTTTTTTGTTTAATACCCATATGGGAAAGTCTCTACATATAGTCCACCAAGCTTGGAGGAGAGGCCTCTGGGAGAGGGGCAGGCAGAGGCAGATGCATCAAGGGCCCACCCTGGAGCTGGAGTTTCTAGTCCTTTTACTTCTCCGGTTGAAGGGGTAGTTGAGGAACTCAAAGCGTCTGTGGGGCTCGGTGGTCTGGTGGCCCTTGGGAAGCCTCTTCATGAAATGTACCTCCCGTTGGTGCTGGCGGGGG